AAATCTGAAAAAGTGTAAAAATTTTCAAGAAAACTCATGAGTGTCTACGAACATGTATGATACACGGCGTATGAGTAACCTTCCTTTCTAATCATATCTACCCTACAAGAAAAGGACTTTTTTTGAAGCATTATTGCATCAGCACTGACCGTCAAGGGACCGGTCCAGTGAGATTTCTGGTAGGGAAGTAAAACTGTCAAAAAATAAAAATTCGCTCAGAGCGAGAGAGTAACATTGAAAAGTACGGGATCGCTTTCTAGTAAAAAATGGTAACTTCTGTCAACTTCAACATAACCTCCAAATTTTGGTTGTAAATTTTTGCTTATTTTGTATGTTAACACACTCAGCTCACACATGTAAATAACCAAAAATACTTTCAAATTCAATAGTCAGAGAACCGAGTACGGGATCGATTTCCAGTAAAATTTGACCGATTCTGACTATTTCTGACTAGTCCGGACTCCTACGGGATCGCAACTTATAAGATGTGGGCTGTGCGTTGGACTAAACAGTGAAAGGACTTGGCAGTAAGGCTTTATTTTTTTTTAAATAATTAAAGGAAATTTTAACTAAAGCGTAAACAATTGGGGTGTTCACAGTTCGTTCCAAATAGTGTCTGAAAATGTAGACGTCTACATTTTAAGACGTTTTCTAACCGTAAAACCTGTGGTGTTGTTGTTTCCCATACAAAATTGGAAAACGACGCCGTCTACATTTTGTCACACTCAAAGGTATGTTTTTTACTCGTCTACATTTTGCGACCTCGCAGCAGGGTTGCATTATGGCAATACTTATCACATTTTTTTTTATTTATTGGGGAACGTTTTCTGTATTTGCATTTAATTTGAGCGCAATTTCTGATGAAAAGAAACAAATCAAGGAAAAGAAATAACAAATATTACGAATTGCTAATTAAGTTAAATAATTACAATTTTTCAGAAACAAAATCGAAAGGCGACATATAAAAAATGCACGCAAGGAAGAAATGTCTGGCAACACCAGCAAAGTTTTAAGACGATTTTGCGACGACTGCTAGAAAGGTGTGCTCACAGTTTAATGCTAAAGATGTCTCAAAATGTAGACGTCTACATTTTCAGACACAATTTGGAACGAACTGTGAACACCCCAAATCAAAGTTTCTTACGCCATCCGAAACACATCTCTGTTCCTCACAGTGTTGTGAAACGGAAGCACACGTTCTAAAGTATCTTTAAAGATAGTTGAACCGAATAAATGTTCTGATACTCGTAACTATTTTGATCCCTCAATTTCTTCATTATAAATCTTAATATCTATCTTAGAAAATCGCGGGCTTCAAAACTAACAATTTATTTTATTAATCATGAATTGGTTCTTATTGCAACCCTGTCGTAGCACAGCTGTTCGCCATTATTTAATCAGCTGTGAGCGTGGAAAAGGAATTGTCAAAACGTGATTTGCGTTTATCTTCTACACTTTCAATCGGAATTGGATTTCAAAATTAAAAATTTATTTCAAGGAATTTTGTTTTTAACGTACACAATTTGTTTCGCACATCAATTTCAAGAATAGTTATTTTGGAAAAGATAACGGAAAAAAGAAGAAAATTCACCGCCGTAATTTTCAAAATTAGGCATGGCACACGCCACACCGCAGGTAAGGTACACCGCCATCCGTGGCAT